TGTTTTAGTAAATTAATGTGTTATTAAAGATTTTTGACTGGCAAATTTTTAGTTAAGTTTTGTGTAAGTAATTGACGGAAAGAGTTTTTTTATATATTTTATAATTAATTATATGTATATATATATATATATACTATATGTTTTATTAATATGAATAATATACTCAAAGTGATTTTTATCATTCTCTATCATCATCAGCAAATTTAGAAGTAGATCTTTGCTACGCAGCTGCTGATGTTTTGCCAACCTTAGATTTAGCCTGACTTAAAACTTTTAATAAGCCAATTTTACTAGTTAAAGATTTTACTGAAGATAATAAATCATTAAGAGTATCTTTTATACTCAATATGATATGTTCTTGCTGTCTTTGAACTGCATGAAGTTCTTCAATTTCGTTCACACTTGCTGATTTTCTAGAATTAAAATAATATATTTTTTTAGTCTAAAAAGATGATCCATAACTTTTTTTTAAAAAAAAAAAATTCAAAAGTAATAAATACCATTTTCCTTGGTTGAACTTAAAGATAAGAGAGGAGACATGCTTGAGGGTAAATCAGATGATCTAGTTGACAATAAATTAGGTGATAAAATTAGAATAAGTGATAATAGTGTATTTTGAGATCTTTGTGGTCAGATAGATGTGGTAGTTTGCATAGAAAGAATAGTTGTAGTTTGTTGAGAGTTAATGAATTTTGTTGGTATAGCAGAAGTAGTTGGAGTTGGTTGATCTGTTGATAGTTATGTTGTCTTTTCTGTTGATAGTTGTGTTGTCTTTTTGTAAATCGAGAAGAAATAGATTTTTTGTTTTAGCTATTTTTTTTTTTTTTTTTTTTTTTATAAAAGTTTCTTTCTATTTATATATATCACTATTTTCAAAAATGGCAAATAAAAATTTAATTACTCGATTACCTTAGCACATTGATTAAAGGTTAATGTCTGATTTTATATGCATACTATGTAATTGTTTTAGTAAACAATTACATTGTATATATATCAGAACACTCGGGTTTTTGTAGTATCTAAAATAGTGCTATTTTTAGCAAAATAGCTATCAACTTTGTTTATACTAAGATATGAAATTTGCTACTTTTGCACTAAACTGATTTACAAAATGAGTAATTATATGCACATTTTAGATGATAATTAGAGAACTTACAGAGATGATAAATAAAGAACTTACCAAAAAAATATGATCATATTAAAATTTATATTTAACAAATATAAAGCTATTTTGCAGAATTTACTAGTTAATTTTGCTAGCTATTTTTGTTTCTAATGTCAGGTGACCCTGACATATACTAAAATGTTTATTTGATGATACTATTGATTTTGTTTTGTATTCATCATTTTTATATACTAGATATCATTTGGGTAATACTCAAATTGTTATTACTTATGCTTTACTTTGAATTATTAAATTGTATGTACTTTATTATTTTTGTTATGTACTAAAAACATATTTGATGATGATACTCTTGTTATTAGGCTTTATTTTAAATTATTAGATTGTATGTTTTCATCATTTTTGTTATATACCATGTAGAATATTATTTGATGATACTCAACTAATTCGGCTAATATACTGAAAATTTGGGTCTAAAAATTAATTTCTTAATGCAAGTCTAGTAATCGATAAATTACATAATCTTATTTTTTATTTTTTCTTTATTCATTAATGACAATATTATTGATAGTTATGCATACAGTTTAATTACATTAAAATATACCATTGTATTATGAAACTGCATGAATACGTATCATTTTGTGAATATCATCGTATATAAAACCATATCTTTGTATATAAAACTACATAAATTTCATTGTATATAAAACTAGTTACATAAAGATCATAGTATATGAAACTATTAATAAACTATTGAAATCTATAATTGTAACAATTTTTTTAATAAAAAGCCTAATTTTTTTTTGAAAAAAAGAAAAAATATTTCAAGTCTTATTTTAACAATAATAATTTATAATAGCTCGATTATATACTAAATTTACTCACAATACCATAAAATCATAGTTTTAAACAAATTTTAGATTCTATTACAGATTCAGAAAGTGTAGGTTCTGATATAGCTAAAACTTCTATAACAACTTTCTATGTCAATCCAACAAAATACTCGTATTCCTTGTCATTGTTTATTATATGCATGTAATAGTAATCTAGTTTCTCAATATACAAAAGCTCAACATGAATTAGAAGATATGATACAACAGGAAGAAGAAGAAGAAAGTGAATCATTTACAGAACAATTAGGCAGGTTAAATTTAAGTAACAATTAAGAAATAAAAGATATTGAGGAAAATATAGAGCCATTATTTTTGCCAAGAAAAAAACATCGCACTCATGCAAGTTTTTAATTAAACTTACTAAATGAAGACTTAACAGATGAAGACTTGACAGATAAAAGTAGCAATAAAGAGTTTGAGGAATTAAATAATAAATTAAATGATAAATTAGTTAAGCAATTTAATAATGAATTAGGTGAAAATCAGTTGAAGAAGTCATGAAATTAGATGAAGGATCAATAGAAGCATCAATGAAAGAATCAGCTGATGAATAGGTTAAACAATCAGCTGAAGAATTAAATAAGCAATCAACCAAAAAAAAAATTTATAGTAATATTAATGAATTTAAGAACTATTCTGCACCGAATATTGATGGTAACGATAATTGAACTGAATTTCAACCCAACTTTAATCCTGTTAGAATATGAATAGATTATGCTTTGGTTATTAAAATTTCAAACTAGGTTTAACATATCTAAAACTGCTATTAATACTTTAATTAAATTTATTTGGCTAATCTTAGTTGAAGTAGGTGGTGAGGATCAATTTAACAACTATCCAAATTCAATTTATAAGGTTCAAAAATATTTTAAAATTAGTAATAATGTCACAGTATATATTCTATATTCAAATTGCAATAAATTGTACAAAAAAGAAGATGTGGTTAACTCGCAAAATGCTAGAGGGCAACTAGAAATTAAAAAATATGATTATATCGAATTTTCAAATATAGTCAGCTCTCGACAAAAAAAAGTATGTAATTCTGCTTTAGCGGTTTAAAATAAATATTTAAATAATAAAATCATTAATAAGCCAATTTTATTATTTTCACTCTCTAGTATTAAAAGCTACTTATTAAAAATGTATAAGCAGCCAGACTTTGAAAAAACATGTCATAAGTGAATATGTTAAAATATAACGAATAGCGTTATTTCTGATATCTATGATAGTTGAGTTTGGAAGACATGCCATCAAATAGTGGTCAATTTTTTACATATGAAATAGCTAATTCACATCTTGGTTTGATGCTAAACTTAGACTAGTTTCAATCTTTTACTAATACACAGGATAGTATTGATGTAATTTATGCAATGATTTGTAATTTGCCAAGAAAAGAAAGATTTAAAGTTGAAAATATAATGATTCTTGGTATTTTACTCAGACCAAATGAGGTTTGTTTGCATTATATAAATCATTATCTAGCATCTATAGTAATGAATGTCAACTTTGGGATAGAATACAAATATCACTTATGAGAATCCTTTATCAAAAAAAATTTGAGCTGCTGTAATTTTATGTTCTTGTGATATACTTGCGGGAAGAAAATTATGTGGCTATATTTTAGCTTTAGTGGCTTGTTATCATTGTGACAAATATGCACAGTATAAAAATCAGCACCATCATTTTGGAGATATCAATGATATAGATCATGATTTATTAAGCGAGATTCTATTAAGCATAAATGTGATACAGAAAAGTAAAAAAAGTGTTATACGAAGTTAGATATAATGCAACATACAAAACTTACAAAGATTCAATAGTCTGAGTTACTTTACCTATCATATTTTGATCCTGTTTGATTTATGGTTGTCGATCCAATTCATTGCCTATTTTTAGATATTGCAAAATGGATCGTAAAACAATTATAGGTCGATAATAGTCAATTAGATACTCAGGTTCTTAAGTTGGTTCAAAAAAAAATGTCAGAAGTTCAAGTACTATCTGATATTAGACGAATTCCAAGAAAAGTTGATATTGGTGAAGAGTTTGTTTATTTTATAGCCAACAAATAGAAAAATTTTATTTTAATTTATGTGACACCTTGCTTATGAGACTATCTTTCAGAACCAGACTAGAGGATTTTAACAAATTTTATATAAATCTGTATTATTCTTGTTTGTTGAATTATTAATGTGGCCACATTAAATAAGGCACATAGTTGACTAGTTCTTCTTGTAAAACAAATAGAAAAAGAATATGGTGAAGAATATATTACACTAAACCTCTATTCGGCACTTCATATTAGTCAATATTGCTTTAATTATAGACCACTTTATATATTCTGGTATTTCTCTTTTGAACGAATGAATGGTTATCTTGGATATTTGCCAAATAGCTATCACAAGATTGAGCCAGAATTAATGCGCTAACTTATACAAGATTTTATAGTTGATAATCTTATTAATCAAAGAAATTCTCTAAAAGGCCTTGATTTGTTTCTAAAACAAAAAACAAGTAGAAGTTTAGCTTTACCAGACCAATTCGAAGCTACTAAATTACAAAAAGTTCTTCAAATATCTCAAAATATTAAGTCAAATTATGTTAGTAGCTTAGAAGATTTTTCTGGTAAATTCTTGAAATCTTCAAAGACAAACATATTATTATCGGATGAATTTCTAAAAATTTTAGCAAAATATTATTCAGCTGTCAATTCCAGTATTGTTAAATAACTTTTAAATAACATAAAAAATATTGTGACATTGTCATTTGTTACTTTGTCATTTAGAAGATAATAACAAATGACAAAAATAGGTATTATTTAGATGTTTTATGATTGGTTAAATTCTAAAATATCCGAGTATACCAAAGTTGATACAAAGTTTTAACAATTTTAGAATCCTGTGATTGGTTAAAATTTGTTATTCTCAAATGACAAAATAACAAATAACCTATGTCATTTGTCAATAATTTGTCATTTGTGACTAAAATTTGAAATGACATTGTCATTTAACAACACTGGTCTATTCTGACTATTCATTTAAAATACCATTTAAAAAAAGTGATAACAATAAGGAATCAAAAATAATTAAACCTTTCGGAGACCAATTTGGTCGGTTACAAATTGGCTCTGAAATATTTGGATTAACTATGTCAATGCACATGTAAAAAGTTCCTTTATAATGGCAAAATTTATTAATTAGGATAATAGTTCAAATGATACTTATGCAAAACAAATTTAGTTCTTTATTCAGCATAAGACTAAAATTGGCAATACTAATGTTAAGCATAGGTTAGCATATATATATTGGTACAAACTAGTAGTAAATGACTCATTACGATTCTTATTTGGCGTAGATGAGAAAATTGAAAGATTGTATAATATCAAGCTATAGGAAAAAAATTTTTATCGTGTTAATTCCTATTTATCAAATTTTAAATTGATTTGTGCCAGCATTTTATAAAGCAGTACAACAAAAAAAATCTAAAGAATATCTTGTTGTTATACCAATTAATAAAAAGTTTCACATATAATGATAATTTTACATGTATATTTTAAATACAAAATAAATAAATATATTTACGTACGTATATACGTACGTATAAAATTTACTTGATATTTATAGCAGGTTATATGTTGTGAGATGAAAATTTCGTAAGGTCAAAAATCGAAATGATTCAGTTAATCTAGCCAAATCGGTTGGAGTTTGCCAAAGCTGCTACGTATAACTACCATATCTGCCAGATATAGCAAATATAGCAGATAATATAGTAAAAATATTAGAAATAGCAGATATGGTCATAATGGCAGAAAAGTTCGTAGTTAATTAGTACAATGTAAAATATATCTAAATACAATTATTTTGCTAAAAAATAAAGAATAACTCCTTTTGAGTTTTCAACTACGAAATAAATAAGAGTAGTAGTTTCCTAAATGCCGCTTGATTATCATGTCGAGGTAATATTTCACTTGTCATAGTTTTTTTGTCCCTGTGATTCGTAAAAGACTATTATCATTAGCATGTTAAAAGCGAAAGAGAAAGATCATATTAGTAATTGATCTCTATTTAAATAAAACTATTAAATTGATTAAGTGTGTGATTAACCCCATTAATAT